CAAGTAAAGATGCTAAAAAGGCGAGGAACACAATCGTTCTCCATGGGTTTCAGCTTCTGTTGTGTATGGCAACATATGCAGAACACCTTGTAAAAGATATGGTGTGGCAATGGTTTCGTGATTATTGTTTTGACACCCTTTTTGCTTGTTATTTATTGTTCCAAATATTACCAAGATTTATTAGTTCAGTTATCTATGGTCTACGAGACAAAACGTTCAGAAAGCACCTAAAAGGACATTTACTGTGTAAAATAAATCCACAGAAACATTAGTAGGGTATGTACTTTTGATTTTTTTTCCAGTCCGGCATTATATATCACTTGTATTCAATCTTATAAATATGTTTCTTAAAAAAACTTTGTTGTTTAATTATCTTTTTTCAAAAAATTATTTTGTCCATCCGTTCTTCCATCCATTTTCTTCCGCTTATCCGGAGTGGGATCACGGGGGTATTAGCCTAAGTAGGGAGGTCCAGACTTCCCTTACACCACCCACTTGGGCCAGCTCCTCTAGGGGAATCCCAAGGCTTTTCCACGCCAATCGAGAAATATAGTCCCTCCGGCATGTCCTGGGTCATCCTCTGAGTCAGGTGTCCCGGTGGGATGTGTCCAGAACATCAGGGAGACGTCCAGGAGGCGTTCATCTAGATACCCAAGTCATCTTAACTGGAGCCTCTCAATGTGAAGGAACAGTGGCCCTACTCTGAGTTTTCCCAGATGACTGAGCTTCTCACCCTATCTCTATGGGAAAGCCCAGACATAGAGAAAACTCATTTCAGTTTTCGCTTGTATCCATGACCTCATTCTTTCGGTCATGATCCAAAGCTCATGACAATGAATGAGGGTAGGAACGTAGATTGACTGGTAAATTGAGAGCTTCGCTTTTAGACTCAGCTCTCTCTTCAACACGACGGACTGGAACAGCATCCGCTTCACTGCAGACGCTGCACCAATCCACCTGTCGATCGCCCGCTACATTTTTTCCTCATTTGTGAACAAGATCCTGAGATACTTTAACTCCTCCACTTGAGGCAGGATATCCTCCCCATCCCAGAGAAGTCACTCTACCCTTTTCTGGCTCAAGACCATGGCCTTGGACTTGGAGGCACTGATCCTCATCTCGGCCACTTCACACTCGACTGCGAACCGCTCCAGTGAAAACTGTAGATCACAACCTGATGAAACCAGTAGGGGCACATCATCTGCAAAAAGCAAAAATGAGATCCTAAGGACACCAAAATGGATCCCCTCAACACCTTTACTGTGCCTAGAAATTCTGTCCACAAAGGTAATGGACAGAATCGGTGAAAAGGGCAGCCATGGCAACTGTCACTGAAAAAGAGCCCGGCTTACTGCTAGCAATGCAAACCAGGCTCTGACACCGGCTGTACAGGGACATATCAAAGGGCCCTGTACCCTTATGGGTTGCTCCATACTCCTGGAGCAATCCCACAGATCCCCCCAAGGGTTGAACACCTTCTGCAAGTCCATAAAGCACATATAGACTGGTTGGATGAACTTCCATACACCCTCCAGGATGCTGCTGAGGGTGTAGAGCTGGTCCAGTGTTACACAACCCGGAGGAAAACCCACACTGCTCTTTCTGAATCCAAGGTTTGACTATACGATGGACCTTTCTCTCCAGGACCTCTGAATATACCTTACCAGGGAGGGTTAAGAGTGTGACCTCTGTGGCTTACTCTACAGTACCCCTTTTTGAACAGGGGAACCACCACCCCCTTCTGCCAATCCAGGGGAACTGCCCCTGATGTCCACGGAATATTGCAGAGTCTCATCAACCAGCACAACCCTACAACATTCAGAGCCTTGAGGAACTCTGGGCGAATCCCATCCACCCCTGGGGCCTTGCCACAGAGGAGCTCTTTATCCACCTTAGTAACCTCATCACCAGAGATTGGAGAACCCAACTTCAATGGAAGGTATGTTGGTGGGATTGAGGACGTCTTCAAAGTATTCTGTCCACCAGCCCATAATGTCCAAAGACATGGTCAGCAGCACACCATCCCCACTAACAGTGTTCGTGCTGTAATGCTTCCCTTTCCTGAGATGCTGGATGATGGACCAAAATCGCCTTGAAGCTATGTGAAAGTCTTTCTCCATGGCCTATCCAAACTTCTCCCACATTTGAGTTTTTGCCTCAGTAACCACCTGAGCTGCCGGCCGCTCCGACTGCCTGTACCCATCAGCTGCTTCTGGAGCCCCACAGGCCAAAAAGGCCCAATAGGACTCCATTTCAATCTGACACCATCCCTTGCCGAAGGTGTGCACCTGTGGGTTTGAGGGTTGCCTCTATGACAGGCACCAACAACCTTGTGGTCACAGTTCCAATAAGCTGCCTCGACAATGGAACCACAGAACATGATCCACTCAGATTCAATGTCTCCCCACCTTCCCCAGGATGTGTTCAAAGTTCTCCCGGAGGTGAGAGTTAAAGCTCCATGTCACGGGAGACTCTGCCAAACGTTCCCAGCAGACCCTCAGAAAATGTTTGGGCCTGCTAGGTCTGACCTGGCATCCTATCCCATTACTGGAGTCAACTCACTACCAGGTAGTGGTCAGTGGACAGCTCTGTACCTCTTTTTACCTGAGTGACCAAGACATGTGGCCACGGATTCGATGAGTCTACAACAAAGTTGATCAATGAACTGCTGCCTAGGGTGTCCTGGTGTTAAGAGCACATATGGACACCATAATGAACATGGTGTTTGTTATGGACAGTCCAGGACAATAATGGCAAAACATTATTTCAGAGTTTATTTTCAATTAACTTGTAAACATTAACTTATAAGTCTTACTAATGAAACACTGACAAAGGGGTGTTGAAATCCAGGCCTTGAGGGCTGGTTTCCTCCAACTGTTAGCTGTGGCACTGGTCCAACACAACAGCAATCCAAGTGGATTGCTAATTTCTACGTATGCACGGCCACACCCATGAGCCCTTAGACTGATGCTGTCCAAACTATATAAAGAGTGAAATGTCAGTTTTAGTCTTATTTGAATCTGTCAAGTAGATCCCGTATGAAAATTTGGCATTAAAACAACTGCAAAAAAATAGTTAAAGAGGAGGGAAACAACAACAGTAAACCTTTAAGAGCTAAATGAATTACTTAATATATTTTATCTTTACTTAATATATTGTGTCCGTCCTAAGTGAGGAACAAGTGAAGAAAGAAAAAAAAAATCCAATGTGGGGATCCTGAACTTGAGGTTAGTGATTCTATTTGATATTAAATACATCTGCAACTTTTACTGTCTGCTGTAAATGTCTGTTTTTGTTTCACACAATGGTTGCAAACTGCAAAATTCTACTTAAGTGTGTTTCTGGATTTAATGTGTTTTTCTTCCTCTTCTTTAACTCATATTATAATATAATGCAACTTATAATGTATTATAGTTTAATGATTCTGAGCTTAAGAGTTCACACTGAAATTTACCTTTTGTCGTACATGACAGGCTCAATATGTAAATATTCATTTCACAGTAATGTCAGTAAAATGTTGAGTGAAAGACTTAATGAGTTGTTACTTTGGTATCAGACATTGCACAACTTTAACAAGGTCTTGTGATTGTTAAATCTTTTAATGAAGGTTATACAGTGACCTAAACAATTGCATATTTCTTAAAAAATCACTGATGTGTAGAAAAATAAGGCTTCAAGTGTGGTCTGGATACAAACGTGATGTGATTTACAACATGGCAGAAACTGAACAATTAACTATAAAACTGCAGAAACAAAGAACAGCCTCATTTGTGGTACTGATGTCTGTGCAAAAATACAACATAAAATATTCTAAGCATCCAAAATCCTTGAGTAATCTTATGATTTATAGAGAATAGAATATTTAGATACCTATCTATTATGAACATGAGAAGCATAGCAGTCATTCTAAAGAAGGAGGCATGAATCTATTATCCCTATTTTATGCACCCTTCACTGGCTCCATGTTGTCTTTCAGGTTAAATTTAAGCTTTTATTTATTGTTTTAAGTGTTTGTAGTTTAAACACAACTTTTCACCTACGTCTCACCCAGAGCCCAGAGATCAGCCAACCAGCTTTTGTTGTCTGTCCCTAAAGTTAGGTTAAAGACTAGAGATGACTGAGCTTTCACTGTGGCAGTGAAAGTTGAGACTGAAAACATATTTATTTTCACTGGGCTTCAACTGCAGTTAAAAAAGGAAGTACATCAGTACACATGTACTGATGTACTTCCTATGTATGTAAGCAGTGTGTATGTGTTTGTATGTAGTGTTTGGGAAATTGCTGCAACTCAAATTACGCATGTCTTGGATTTTATTTGTATTGTGAATTTATTAGTATTTTACTGCCAATTTTGTCATCACATTTTTCATCAAACTTGGTTATATTTTATTTTATATTTATGAAGTTGTAATTATTAAAGCACTTTGGTCACTTTTGTAAATGTGCTATGTAAATAAAATTTGATAAAGTTACAGTAATTCTGTGTATCTCTTTCTACTTTCCTCTTTTACAGATCTAAAGAAATGAATGTGTCTGCTGCCAATGTGACAGTGGCTATACAATATGGAGATTCTTTCTCCAAGGCTTTGATTAAGAACCTCATTGTTGTGGCCCTCAGTATCTTCATCAACTACATCAATGCAGGACTCATTTATACCTTCTCTAAACACCAGGTCAGACATTGTAATGAGTCATACATTTATTGTATGACTGATTGAAGAATCAAATGGAAAACAAATTTTAGTGTTAAGATTTTCTGCTAGTCATCCTGATTTGGCCAGGATTTTTACATTAAAATTGAAGCAGAAGACAATGAAATGTATTGTGTTACAAAGTACTCACCAATTTTATTTGTTCACATTTTCTAATATTATAGCCACAAACGTCAATGTATTTTGTTGTGATTTTATGTGACAGAACAACACAAAGTAGAACATAAATCTGACATGGAAGAATAAGGACATGGTTTTTATATGTACAAATTAGGAAATTGTGGCTTGCAATACAGATCATTCCATCCTGAGATACATAATGATTAATAACAAGCTTATGTGAACACTATTTTAGTAATTATTACATATTTTGCAGGGACGTAGTGCCGATTTATTGCAAAATGAAGTCATTTCCTTTGGTTGTTATAAAATTGCCACATATCAAACATAACTTAAGAAATTTGACTTTGTGTTTTAATGCCTTAAAATTGGGCCTCTGTCTCTTTAAAAACTCCTTTATCAAACTCTGCTTTCAGGAAGTCATCACATCTGCCCTTTACTAACCTTTTAACTTAGCTTGTATAATGAGCTTAGCAGATGCACAATTCCACAAAGTGTTTGCTACTTGCCACTCGCTAGTCTGAAGGAGCTAAGTGAGGGAATTGTAGGGTAGTGGTGCTTTTTTGGGCTGAGTAAGTGGAAAACTGGAAAAGGCGGCGTTTGGTCCACCCAAGCGCTTTGCACAGCTTAATGGCTGCCAAGGAAAATTAAGGGATTTCTCATATATGCATGAAAAAAAAATAAGACAACATTCCAGGTATGTTTTTGATTAGGAAATAACATAACATGATGTAAACCTCAAAAAAGTAGATTTTAAGTAATACTACTCCTAAAATGAAGCAAAGAAAATGAAACAAAAGAGGAAATGAGCAATTTAGGCATAAGTTGAAGAAATACAGCAAATAAAAGTTAGAATTATAACACAAAAGCTAACAATAGTTTGTATAAAATCATGTAACCTTTTAAAACAACAGAACATTTTTTTATCTCCAGACCTAGAAAGTTAATTTTTACCTACATGCAGCAAAGATGCAATTACTGCATGCACACAGCGAGATAAGTATTTCTGACATCTGAGAATTTTAAATACAAATAATTTTTTAAAACCAATGTCGATCCCTTTATTTTTTATTAGTGAACCAGTAATGTTTTAGTTTTAATTAAAATTAACAATGCCACACTATTTATCAATAAATATTCCAATATATTGCATACAACCTTGCCTGCATTGCCTTCCTGAGAAATTCAGTTCGATTATAATCTTGCTTCAGAGCTCAGTCTGGACTTTCTCTGATTGACTTTGATTCCTCGCATTTATTATTATAGTCTGCCTGTTATTGCTGACAGCTGAGGAAGTGAACAAAGCCGTTCAGTCTGTGTTGGCCAGGCTTCCATATTGAACTAACATAACAGGTGCCTCTTTCGGATTGGCACTTCACTCTTCAATGTGGGGGATAGTTCCTTAGAGTGTACGCAAATTCTGTTAAGCTTCGTAGCGTCAAACTGGGGCATTACACATATCATGGTCTAATATTGGCAATTGCGTAAAATTTAAAACTCCAACAAAGTCTTCTCCTCCAGAAAACAATTGTTTCTTAATACTTGAGAACCTAAACCCTCTGAAGGAATCAAAGCGTAGAACAAGTGGCTGGTTACATCAAACCTAATATCTTATTTGGTCCATCATTCCACATATGTTTTTCTTTTTTTTTTTACTTCTATCATTGTCACTGCTAAAACATGTGCTCTGTTTTGTCTTTCTTTAGATCTTCAACACAAATCCCCGGTACATCCTGTTTGTTCACTTGGTGATCAATGACATGATCCAAGTAACGCTGACTGTCGCACTTTTCATCATTAGCTACATCTTCTTCTGGATGCCGATGACTGTTTGTTACTTCTTTATACTGATTGCTATCTTCACTACTGAAAACACCCCGCTGAACCTGGCCTGCATGGCAGTGGAGTGCTACATCGCCATCTGGATGCCCCTCCGTCACGCTCAGATCTGCACAGTTAAAAAAACACGGCTGCTGATTCTTTTAATCTGGGCCACCAGCTTGGTGTCTGTTCTCCCTGATCTCTTCATGACTTTGGCTACGGAGTCACAGGACTA